GTGAAAGCAGGCCGCGCGCGGGGCAGGAAGACGCCGCGCGCCCAGGGCGCACGGCGGGCAGAAAACCGCCGTGCGCCCCGAGCACACGGCGGGCAGAAAATCGTCGTGCGCCACGCCGCGCGCCCGAGGCGCGCGGCACAACGATAGGCAGCGGAAGCAAGAAGGCAGCAGGAAGGTACCTGCTCTGAATACCATGTTGAAGTCTAGGCATAGGTTGGCTTAGGAGCCATAGTTTAGGTTCTTAGTAGATCGAGAGCTAGGGTAAGGAGAATGTCGAGAAAGTTGAGAGAGGAGAAAGAGGGCTTCACTATAGGTTGGCAACAACATATAGCAAAGAAACAACAAAGGTGCACCACCAAACAAAGTTTATAATAACTACACTAACTATAGCTACAGGCAGTTACAGATATATTCAGACACGACGCTACTCACCCCTCTTTTGCCTACAAAAGAGGAACGTGATTTCAGTAACTCCACCCACGTTCTTTATTTCCAATTTCTAGTTTTACTTTCCTAGTTCTCGTTCATCCTGGCGAAGACACAGTCCCTCCCGCGCTTCAAGTCCCCGTCAACTCTTCTTACCGACATTCTTCAACACAACCTCGCGAGTATGGCTCCCACCAACACTACACTTAATCGAGAGGCGGAAAAGACGACTACCCCGGGTAAGGGCGTGTCCAGCGCGTACGTTTTCCGTACAGTACAGTTCATCCAGTATGGTAATCTGTACTGCGTCACGGTTCAAAACGGTGCAACTTTGAAATCGCTGTGGACCGCTTGATATCTTTTCAAACCACGACGAATGAACTGTATAGTACCTGAAAACGTACGCGCTGGACCCGCCCTAATACTTCGGAGCACGCGAACGCGCCCGGGGCACCCGACCGCCGCGGAAAACGTCATGCTGAGGACAATTTCGGCGAGGGCCCCTCAGGAGTCGAAGTTCTGCTCGGGAGCAACTCCCGAGCCCCCTCTGAAGAAGCACGTGCCACTGTGAAACAGTCGCGCGTGCCCCCTGCTGACGAGCGCGCGGCTGCCAGGCAGCCGCGCGGTCCGGTCAAGTCAACGGGGGCTGACGCGGACGGCGACGCTGGTCAGCCGGGGCCCACTCTGCAGAAGCGGCAGAAAGCAGCGGCCTCAGCAGAAACCGCCCCAGTCAACCCCCTCGCGTCCCTCACTGCGCAGCAAATGCAGGCGCTGCTCTCGATGTTACAACAAAACACACCGGTTACAATCGCAACTTCATCCGACTACATTTCAACACCTAAAAAAAAAGAAAATCAGAAGGAAGTCACCCCCCTTGCACCAACAAGGCGGCTCGCGTCAACGAGACCAGTGCCGCACCACTTCGCGCGCCCGCACTTGCGACAGCGACAGCGACGACTCAGAGAACGAAGATGGTGAGGCCCCCAACAACATTACCCGCCATCGTATTATTGCACCCGCACCCTCCCTCCCACCCCTCCACCCCACACCCGCATCCACCACCTTCATGCGCAAAGGTGTGCGCGATCAGGCGGAGGTCTTTTCTGCCATCCAGGCGCACCTGAAGCACGTCAATTTCAAGCTCCAGCACGACGACATAGAAAGCGCCCTCACCAACGAATCGAGACGCTCATCCACAAGCGCTTCGAAGTCCTATTGGTGGCGGACGAGGCGGGGTTCGAAGCTGCCGATCGTTTTCAGCTGTACCAGTCCAAGAGCGTTTTGACCTCACGCTCGTACAAGCTCGCCGTCGCCGATGTGGCGGCTCTCAAACGCGCACGGGCCGTCTACACTTGCGGCAACCGCATGCCCACCCAAGATGGCAACACGGAAGGCAAGGGCATGCCGCCCGCAAGCTGCCACGAACCCCGCTTCAAAGGGGTGTGCTTCTGCTGCGGCCAGCCCGGCCATATGGCGAATGCTTGCCCCATGGGAGGGCGAGGCGCTCAAGGCCCCTCACCCATGGTGTGAGGAGGCACACGGGGCGGCGCCCCTTGCCACTATGCTGGGGGGCGTAGGTGGGAGCACCAGGGGTGCGTAGTTGGTAGCTAGCATGAGCTAGGGCTTGAAGGCCGTAGAAATTCCTAGTCGGAAGGGTGGATATGGGGGTAGTACGTGCAATGTACCCATGTGTGGAGGCAAGTAATAAAAATTATCTTCTTATTGTAAAAAAAAAAAAAAAAAAAAAAGGGAAAGCAAGAAAGCTGAACCAAGGCAGCCACCCTGCAGCATGAACAGCCCTATGACTCAGAAGGAAAGAGTAAGGAGGACGGAGGAGGAAACCGAGATGGGAAAGAAACCAGGAGAGTACAGGGAGAGAGAGAGAGAGAGAGAGAGAGAGAGAGAGAGAGAGAGAGAGAGAGAGAGAGGGAGAGAGAGAGAGAGAGAGAGAGAGAGAGAGAGAGAGAGAGAGAGAGAGAGAGAGAGAGACGCTTTCTGCGCTGACCAGGTCCGGGCGGAGCTTGCGGAGGCAGCTGCGCCGCTACCCCTCGTCGCCCAGCTCAATCCGCAACACGCCGTACTCATGATATCGTGGAGCATTTCCCGCCGCATCTCGTACTTACTTCGCACAACACCGGCGGAGGCACTGGCCCGTACGGAGTGGAGGGAATGGAGCGAGGCATTGGTGGGAGCAGGTCTCACGGCGTCGAAGCTACAGATCCCGCCGAGCGAGCTAGAGCAAAGCCTGCTGTGGCGCCATGCAACGCTTCCGGTTCGGCTGGGGGGCCTGGGAATCATTGATCCCATTTTCCAGGCCCCAACCGCGTACCTAGCCTCAACTGTAGCAGCGCACCTTCTACTGCAGCAGCTGAACCTGCCGCCGGACTACCTACTCCACAAGGCCGGGGATCTTCTTTCCCCGACATGGACCCCACCTCCCCCCCGGGTGAACCCGCTGTCCCCACTCGAGGCAAGGCTCCCAGCACAGGCCGCGGCGGTGCTATACAGCTATAGAGAGAACCCCAGTGGTATGGGCAACCTGCAGCTGGGGCTCTCCAAAGCCATCAATCACACGCGGGCGGAGGAGCTACTGGCAGGTACAGTAACTGATAGGCCGGGGGTGGACCAGGGCCATGCCATTCGGCTCATCAGCCCGAAAGGAGTGGGAGCAGGCGACTGGCTCCATGCAGTGCCCACGAGGGCTGACCTCTCAATATCCCCTGGTCAGTTCTCCATAGCACTAGGCTTGCACCTTGGCATGGAACTACCAGTGGTGGAGGTCTGCCCATGCAAGCGGTCCAACTCCAAGATAGCTGACAAGAGTCTGCCCAACCACCTGCTACGGTGTGCCGATGGTGGGGATGCTGTGCGCACCCACAATGCACTGACCTTCGCTGCACTTCGCATAGCACAGGAAGCCGGGTACAAAACCTTTCACGAGACGACCGCTTTCTCTCCCCAAGTCCAGAACAAGCGTGCTGACCTAGCCGTCAGGGACCAAGAGTCGGGAGAGACTTGGGCGACGGACGTGACGGTGACTGACCCGCAACATGCAGAGGAGGGACGTGAGGGCGCGGAAGCCGCCAAGGTGGGCGGCGAAGGAGGCATCGCAGGCCAAGCACAGGCTCTACGAGGGGCGGCCTGGCTATGTGGGCTTCTTCGGCTTGGTGGTTGAGACCTACGGGGCGTTGGCGACTGACAATCAACAGTTCTATCGTATGTTGGCTACCTATGCGGCGAAGAAGAAGTACCGCCAGGGGCGCCTCACCACCACCGCTGCCCGCCTCAACGCACACTACAGGCAGCGGTGGTCGGTGATGCTCCAACGTAGCCAGGCGACATCCCTCCTCTCCAAGTCTAACCGGGCAGCGGAAGCGGCATTCCCTCAGGCTGCAGCGGACCCTCAGGCGCCCCGCCTGGGAGACCTCTAGCAGATGTAGGTGGACGAGTATGAGGAGCGCCAGGCACCAGCTAGAGCGGCTTAGAGGGCTGGGGAGGAAGGAACTCGGTGGCAGGGGGGGCGGCTGGGGGGCAGCAGGGGTGGGATACAGGGGCGTGGTGAGGTTCAGGAAGAGGAATACAGAGTTGGGGAGGCTTCATTGGGGGCATGGAGAATGGAAGGTGTCTTAAGGAAGTTGCGAGGAAGCTGCTGGGTGAAGGAGGATAAGGGGTGGTCCTATGGTATGGGAGGAACAAGGGATAGGCGGATTGTGGGGTTCTCGGGGACTTGTGCTGCGGTGGACCGGGCTGCTCTGAGAGCTAGGTGATCGGTGTGCTTTGGCTGGATGGGCTTGCTCGGTTTGTTTGTTAGTTCTGTTTTCCTGGCTGCTTCCATGTTTAGTCACGCTAGTTACCGCCATTTGCCATGCCTGTACCTTTGTGACCCATATCAATACATGATTGCTCGAGAGAGAGAGAGAGAGAGCGAGAGAGAGAGAGAGAGAGAGAGAGAGAGAGAGAGAGAGAGAGAGAGAGAGAGAGAGAGAGAGAGAAGGCCTTAACATCCAGCCCTCTCCCTCTTCCCTCTGCCTCTCCCTCTGAGCCTATTTATGGGGCCCTCTATGCCTTCCCGACCTCATTATTTCGTGGGTGTTTCATTTTCGGCGGCTCGCGCCGGCGGCCTTCGGCCGCGCGTTCCTGGTGGCAAGACACAAAACGTGGGTTCGGCTTATAAAGGGCACACACACACACACAAAGGCAAGGAGGTGGGCAAGAGCAAGAGGCGCGGCATGTAATTCTACACGCGACGGAGGCCTACATCGTGTACGGCTCCGCCCCCTCCACCTCAAGCATTGAGCGCATGCACACCGATACTGCAAGAAGGAGATGCGCCGACGACTGGAGCGTGTCCAAGGGGGTCCCGGCTTGAGCAGCCCCTACAAGATCCCCCACGTGGCGGGGGAATGTACGGGCTAAGGGAGCTACCCCAGCGGGCGCATCCGACACGGGTGCCAACGGCGACTCGAGCGATTCTGCCAAAGTCACGCAGGATCCTCAGGATCCTGGACCGAAACTGCTCGGAAGGCTCCGCGTGGCCCCACACACCGCCAGCTGCAAGTTCGCCACCACCTCGCATGCCTCCACTGGATTCAGAATCCGGCACATGGTCAGCATGGGGTCTCTCCCCGCGCGAGTGGGGGGAGGTGCAGTCGGCGCTTCGCGCAGATACGCCGTCGGCCAGCCTGGAGCTCGGCCAGCAGATAAGCGCGGCACAGAGAAGCCGGGGACCTGACGGGGGGTGCGGAGCTGAGCCCTCCCCTCTCGCACGGGCCGATATTCGCTCAGCGTCGGCGCGCGCAGAGGAGCAACCTGGCCTGGGTCCGCGGCGAAGGGGGGACCGTTGGTCACCTCTATATGGACGTGAGTTGAACCCCCACTCGCCCGGGCCTGCCGCACCACCTCCACAAACGTGTCTGCGGCGTGATCGAGGGCAGGATCCTGCTGGCGACCATTACCGCCACGACCTCCGCCATTCCGCCGGCCTCGCCGGCCGCCAGAACCCGCCGAGTGAGGATGCGGGGGGGACTGCTCGCGACGCCCCGAATCCCAGCGACGTCCAGGCGACCCCCTCCCCCTCGTCGCCGGAGATCGCCGCGGAGACCGTTGCGTGGGGGATCGCGCTCGGGGTGAGCGCTGGCCTGCCCGACCACGAGGAGACGGGTGGCGAGGAGAACGAGGACGCCCAGAGGATCGCTGATCGCCCCCACCCCGCAGATGAGCCTCGCGATGCTCAGGAGATGGGCGCTGAGGAGAGGGCTGCCGCGGAGGCTAACGCAGAGGCGAGCACCCGCGCTCCTGCCGCGGCTGACCGTCCGGGCGGTTCGACGCAACACGCGCAGGGGCCCACGAATACTCCGGCGAGGTGGGGCGCGGGGCAGGCCGTTGGGGAAGAGTCAGCACCCGGTCAAAGCGGCGGTCGGGCTCGCTTGCGGAGGGGTGCGCAGGGACACGCGGGCGAAGACCGCCAGGCGCAGGTTCCGGGAACGCGCTCTCCGCAGATCCCTCGAGCTCCGGATCCCGTCTCGCGGATGGATCCATCACCCCCGACCGCACCGCAGCCGACGCCAGCGCGCCAACAGAACGAGGACGAGGTGGACGTGGCGACGAAGGCAAGGCGCGTGGGAGCCGCGGAAGGGAGAGGAACGCGGGGTATCCGCGTGGGATGCGGCAGCAGCCGCCGCGCACGACGAGGGAATGGGAGAGGACGAAGAGGTGGAGGAGTGTGCGGCACAAATCGGCGCCGCACCGGCGCAAGCGGTTACGCGAGAACTGCTGAAAGGCTAATTCGCGAAGGCGTGGAAGGCGGCGAGGAGGAGCACAGCAAGGAGGCAGAGGACGAAGCTGAGAATGAAGAAAGCGAAGGGGGTGACCCTGTTTTTAACCCAGAAAGAGAGGGGATGTTGGAAGCAGAAGCCGAGGACGAGGAAGAATTGGAGATGCTACTTCGGGAAGCGGAGTTTCCAAACCATCAGACCCGGACGAACCTGCAATTCGAACCACAGGTCGAAATCGAACCGCGGGGGGAAATCGTGCAAGGGGGGGAAATCGAGCCGCGACAGAAGACGGAATTGACTCTGCACCAGCCAATGATAATTCTGCAGGCCCCTCCCCAACCCCACCGACGCTCAAACCTGACGACCTGGCAAAAAATACTGACCTTTTTGCTCAGGTTGCAGACTGGAACCTTGACCCGCTGCGCGACAGTCGCCAACCTCCCCTCGCTCGACACCCCCCCAAAGACCTTCACGACTCCTTCGCGATCTGCATGTTGACTCCGTTACTCCACCTGGCGGCCAATCCTGAGTCTCCACCAGGATGGAACTTACTGACTTTTCTCCCACGCTTACTCCTCCGCACCTCGTCAGCCCGCAAACCTGACTGGAGCGCGATGATGAATCGGCTCCAGCGATTTCGCCAAGGCCTCTGGGGGGACCTGTACGAAGAAGCTGTCCAGGCGATCTCACTGCCACCGCAACCTCGCCACTCACCTGACACAACGGGGATACTGGCACGGGCAGAAGGACTCGCAAAACGGGGTAACCTGTCAAAATCACTCCAATCCCTCCAGGCCACTCGTGTGTCTCCCGCCTCACCTGAAGTGTTGGAAGCCCTCACAACGAGACACCCATCCGCCTGCCAACCACTTCCTGACTGGCTCCGCACCGCCACAGCGGAAGACCCACCCACTATCAAAGCTCGCGACTTCAGATGCCTCCTTGCCAAACTCCCCAACGGAGTAGGGGCCGGCCCATCTAGAACAACCTTCAAGCACATCTGCGACGCAGCCCTGGGCAACCCCGAAGTACTCACCCACCTCCTCGCCCTCTCTAACACAGCTCTAGCAGGAAAACTCCCCACAGTCGCTGGGGATCTTCTAACGGCATCCCGCCTGTTAGCATTTACAAAACCACAGGGAGGGACGCGGCCGATTGCGGTGGGGGAGTGCCTCCTCCGGATAATAGCAAAAGCCGCGCTCTCCCGTACTGCGCCGGCCGCTCGTACCCACTTTGCTCCGCTTCAGTTCGGAGTCGCAGTAGCGGGAGGGATCGAAGCGGCTATCCACTCCGCTCGCACATACCTGGAAGTGCACCCAGCGGCAGTGGCGCTGCAGATTGACCTCGCGAATGCGTTCAAGGCGGTCGAAAGGAGGGCGGTGTTTGAAGGACTGAAAAACGAGGCGTTGAAGGAACTGATTCCCCTCGTCTGCCTTTCCTATGAGACTCCCTCCTCGCTCTTCCTCGACCACGACTTCGGCACAGCCCCGCTGGAGAGCGCTAGGGGTGTTCACCAAGGAGACCCGCTCGGCCCACTCCTGTTCGCGGCTAGCATCCACCCGTGCCTCGTGGACACGGCGGTTGCACACCCTCAGGTGGTCCTGCTGGCGTACGCCGATGATATCACGCTGCTCGGCGACGACACGGCCTGCTCTGCGGCTTTCGACCACCTCACCTCTGCTTTAGCCGCCCTCGGCCTGGTGCACAATCCGGCTAAGTGTGCGGCGTGGTCCGCCGCAGCAATCGACGCCTCCTCAGTCCCCCCAGGCGTCACTATCTCTGAGGAGGGTTTGTAGATTCTCGCCAGCCCCGTGGGCACTGCCCGAGGCTGCGCAGATGCTGTGAGAGCGAGATTGGAAGCAGCAGCAGCGCCTCTCCCCCTGCTGGCCCAGATGGACCCCCAACTTGCCCTCCTCCTCCTCACCCGTTGTGTCAGCCGCCGAGCTTCCTTCCTGGCCAGAAGCACCCCCCTAGAGGCCCTCCTTGAAGCCGAATGGTCCGCTTGGGGGGAACAACTCCTTCACACCTTCCTAGACTGGGCCCACATCATGAGGCCGAGGAGCGCCAGGGAGAGACGGAGGATTTGGCGGCAGGCGGCCCTGCCAGTGACTTTGGGAGGCCTGGGCATCACTGACCCCGCCGTTGAAGGCAGCTATGCCTACCTCGCCTCAGTGATCAGCACAGCCCACCTCTTGCACTCCCTGGAGGACTCGTTGCACCCCACTGTCGCCGCGCTCCTCCCCCTTTTGGACCCAACCCACGGCTCCCCACACGCGCTACCTGCATGCCTCGCCGCGGTTGAGGCAGCCCTGCCCCCCGAGGCTCTCGAGGTGCTCCAGGCCGGGAAGGCTGACCCCAAGGGACTGAAGCTGCAGCAGAACCTAGCACTGGCGGTTCACACCCGCCGCTTCCTGAGAGTCATGCGCGAGGCAAGGAGGATGCGCCCCAACCCCCGCTCGGGCCATGCGCAACGGATGCAGTCGGTGCTGGGCCCAGGCGCGGGGGATTGGCTGCTGGCGATCCCGCTCACCCCCTCGCTCCGAATGGGCCCGTCCCAGCTCTCAACTGCAGCTGCCTTCCGCCTAGGCCTCCCCCTCCCAGTGCCTAGACGCTGTGACTGCCGCTACCGCACCACCTTCCCCGACGACCGCCTCCCCAACCACCTCATGCGCTGCGAGAAGGAGAAAGGGAGGACCGCAACCCACCACGCTCTGCGGGATGAGATAGCGAACATTGGAGCGGAGGCGGGGCTTACGGTTCACAAGGAGACGTATGTCTACTCACTGGTTGAAAACCTAAAGGCGGATGTCACCATCCGTCATCCCCTAACTGGTGAGGTTTGGATGTGCGACGTGACCGTGACGGACCCGGTGTCAAGGCAGGACGAGAACTGCAACCGAGCTCCTGGATGGGCGGCCAGGGCGGCAGCAGAGAAAAAGGAGGATAAGTATGCACGGCGGAACGTGTGGGTGGGGTTCCACGCGCTTGCAGTGGAAACTTATGGCTACCCCTCACCGAGGTTCATGGCTTACCTGCAGCAGTGCGCAGAGCTGGCGGAAAAGCTGTGGTTTAACACGGCTCCTACCTCCTACGAAGCAGCGAAGCTGCTGACAGAGTACCGCCAGCGCTGGAGCGTGTGCCTCCAGCGGGCGCAGGCCAACGCCCTCCGCACCAAGACCAACGAGGCCTTGGCGGCGGACGAGCTCGGCTTTAGAGGACCCATCATCCCTCTCAGTGAGGGACAGCTGCACCAGTTGATTGAGGCCCCGTTCGACCAGTAGGGTCGGACAGAGGGGGGGGGGGGGCTGAGTAGGTAGGAGACTTGAGGTAGTTCGGATCTCGTTTTGGATGTTTGTTGTGCTTGTGTATTCTGCATCTTCCTTTGTACCACCCCTCATAGTAATGCAAGGACCATTCGAGAGAGAGAGAGAATGAGAGAATGAGAGAGAGTGAAAGAGAGGGAGAGAGAGAGAGAGAGAGAGAGAGAGAGAGAGAGAGAGAGAGAGAGAGAGAGAGAGAGAGAGAGAGGGTGATGGAGTGAGGCCTCACGGACGAGGAGGCTCGTGATAAAAAAAAAAAAAAAAAACAAAAAAAAAAAAAAAACCAGACCCCCATCGTGGCCAAGAGGCCCGCCTTAGGATGCGCGGCAGCCCGTAGGGGATTGTTATAAAAAAAAAAAAAAAAAAAAAAAAAAAAAAAAAAAAAAAAAAAAAAAAAAGAGAGACAAGGAAGGTTGAGCAATACCTTATTCATAAGCCCACGGGTCGTCCCCATGACCAAAAGGCTAATCACCTAATACACCCTATCGACCCTATTATGTGCAACGACTGGCTGTTCACCATCGACCTCAAATCGGGTTACCACCACGTCGAGATGCACCCCTCATGCTGGAAGTTCCTAGGCTTCCATTTTGAAGGCGAGTTCTACTGCTTTCGAGCTCTGCCGTTCGGATTGGCAACAGCACCTTTCGTCTTCACCCAGTTGATCAAGCAACTGGCCAAACGCTGGCGTGCACGTGGCGTGCGTGTAGTACCATATGTCGACGACATGCTATTCCGCTGCGACTCCGCAGAGCAAGCGCGCAAGACATGCACAGAGGTTCTACATGATCTGGGGATGGCAGGTTTTGTGATCAACGAGAAGAAATCGCGCCTCCAGCCGGCCCATCAAACACGGTTTTTGGGGATGGAGCTTAACACGAAGTGCGGCATGTTCAGCATCGGGTCCGAACGGCGGGCACAGTTCCTAGAAACGGTCAACACGCTTATGTGCAAAGGGCAACGCGGCCAACAAGTCCCAATTCGGCAAGTCGCTAGTATCACCGGAATGTTGAGCTCCGTGTCCCTAGCATTGGGCACGACGTTACGCGCCTTCAGCCACGAGCTGCTACATTTGATCGAGGCAGCGACGTCTTGGCACTCAAGGATCCGGCTGCCACGGGCCCCCATCGAGGAGCTCATTTTTTTGCAACTGCACTTTGACCAATTTAACGGTGCCCTGTTTCACCTAAGCCATCAATTCGATGCGGTGATCCACGTCGACGCGAGCGCTCACAGCTAGGGCGCCATCCTCACAAAGTTTGCCGACGCTTCGTACGAGGCAAGCGCCAGTATGCCAAGTGAGCTCCTCCCAACCTCAAGCACTCAAAGGGAGCTCGAGGGAGTCCTATGGGCGCTGCAGACATTTGCGGCCCACATCACCAATGGCCATGTCTTGGTCCGCGTGGACAACCAAGGAGTCATGTTCATCTTGCGCAAAGGGGGGTCCAGCCAACCCCGGCTGACACTGACATGTCAAGCGGTCATACAGTTCTGCCTCAAGAACCACACACGTCTGGCGATCGAATGGATCCCAAGGGAGCTAAATGCCCACGCGGACGAACTGTCCAAAATCCAGGACCATGACGACTACTCTCTGCAAACGCCATGGTTTCTCCTGCTAGAGCGTCGATGGGGTCCCCATACGATCGACCTTTTCGCGAACGCCAGCAACAAGAAGCTGCAACGATTTTGCTCCAAAATACCGCACCCAAGCGCTACCACAATCGACGCGTTCTCGATCTCATGGACAGGCGAGCGCTGCTTCGCATTTCCGCCCCCCGGCTTGATCCCGGCCACGCTTTCTCACGCCAGGCGCACACAAGCCGAGTTGAGACTTGTTGTCCCTGGGTAGCCGGGAGCAGCATGGTGGCCGCTGCTACAACCCTCCCCACAAACATGGGCCCTAGAAGTGATCGCATGCTTGCGTCTCGCTCAAGGAAGCCAGTGCCTTCGACATGGCTCGCACGCAACGGCATTCTCCGGACTCGGCCTGCCACATAGCCCAATCATTGCCTTGCGTGTAAAATACAACATGTAACTGATATTCGAATGTTAACTCTTTCAGGATTGCTGACCAAGCTTCAAAAGCAACTGTTATGAGTTATCGCGCATGTTCGCGCGCCGTCCACGATCGAGACATACCAGCCATACTGGCTCAAGTTTCGCAACTTTTGCACTCAAGTCAAGTTGGTATTTCTGCCAGCAACGGACCTCACGCTGGCACTCTACCTAGTCCACGCGTTGAACAACAAGGCCACCATATCAGCGATCAGCCTCACATGCTCCGCCGTGGCCTTCGCACATCGGATGACCGGAGAGGCATCCCCAACGAACCCCGTTCACGCTGCAAGTACGAGAGTTTGCTAAGCGACATGGCCCCCGCTCGACAAGGACCAAGGAATCCGTGTCACTCCATCAGGTGCACAACATGGCACGACCCTTCCTGGAGTCAACGGTGCCGGCGGAATATCAGAAAGGCTTGATACCTCTCTTGATGTTCGCAGCATTCCTGTGCTACTCCGATTTGATATCCCTCCAATGGAACGACATCCAGTTCGAAGGGGCGGCAATGTGGCTCCTAATCCCATACTCCAAGACGGACCAGGAAGGCAAGGGCACGTGGATCCCGGTCGCGGTGACGGCAGG